CCAGGGAATACAAGTTACTTATGTAAATGCTGATAGTCAGAAAATAACTTTGTCAGAGGCCCCAGGGATACACAGCAGGGCTCATTTCATTGTCCCTTATAATTCCATCTACTTTCTGGGTCGGTATAATCAGATCCCATCAGCTGCAAGTCTTCCCATGAAATTCCTTTTGTGGATGTATCCTTAATGCCCACAGCAAAGAATTCATGTCCTCTGGACAGCAGCAGATCTTTTAAAATAAAAAGTCGTTTTATACCACACCCCACCCCACCCCCAAAATACACACCTTTCAGAAGATCCTATCAAACTTAGAGAGAAGTTAGAAAAGTTAGTGACAATATACAACTCCCCTCATAGGGATTTTGATTGGCTCTTCCTACTTAAGGTGATACTGTGGTTACCAGACAAGACAGACAACCCCCTAGGGACAACTACCTCTCCCCAGCAGCAAACACACATAAAGAAAACAGGTAGCCAGAACTTCTCCCAGGCCGTCCTGCAAATGACCAGGAAATGACTCAGCTGGCAGCTGATATTTAGGGCCTCACAAAAGTGATAGTAGAGACCTTTCCCACCAAAGTGAATTGGTCTAAGGTTGAAAAGTACACTCAGAAAGAAAAGGATGCCAAGGTTTTTGTGGAATGCTGTATACAGACTTTCCAAAGGCATGCTGCATTTAACCTCAAAGCCCCAGAACAGAAAAATCTTATTATTTCCACCTTTATTGGAAATCCTCTGTCTGGAATAAGGAAGCAAATCCACAGTAGCTTTTTTGTCTGGGCAGGACAGTCTCTTCAACATTATGATTGAAGTTTCTACCCCATTCATTGAAAAAAGGCTTGCAGGAAAACAGGAGGGGGTAAAAAATTAACATCAACTGTCCTTGCCTTGCCAATTTAGTCTTTATAAAACACACCTATGATTCTAGGGGCAATTCAAGTCCCACCCATTTTTCTTACCAGCCCCAGAGCCTCCCCTATTTATTTCAAGATGTTTGCAGGCACTATATACAAAGCCAGACATTGAAAAAAACAATTGTCCTGCACTTAAAAGAAAGGAAAGCTTAAACAATCTCTCCAGACCCCAACTTCCTCAGAGGATCCATTTTCCTCTTTCTGAGAGAGGAAACATATCCTCCATCCTTAAAATAGAAGATCAAGAACTGAATTTTTAAATTGACACTGATGTGACTTTCTCTACTACTGGCTCAAAGTATTCATCTCTATCTACCACCTCTAATTCTATTCAGCTGTTGGAACTCCAGGGAAGCCTGTTTCATTGCCTACATCTTAGGCCACCCAATATTTGTAGACCCTCTTGACATCCATCATGCCTTTCTAGTTTCTGACTTCTTACTGGCAAACCTTTTAGGCAGAGGTTTGTTATGTAAATTTAATGCCACCATAGAGTATAATTATAAAGATGTTTTTTATTTTCCTACCTTCAGACCAAACCTCAAGCTTCCTACCTTCCCTAATGGAAACCCATATAAATTTAAAAGCTTCTGAAGAGGATGCAGTCCTAAAAGATATCCCACTTAGTATTTGGGCCTCACATATAAATATGATTGGATAGCTACTGAGTGCACAGTCAATGGGCGTTACCTGGAAGAGTAATAAACCTTTCCTATAAGTAGCCCAATACTCTCTCTTTCAAGATGAAAAATAAGGAATTGAACCTATAATCGACTATTTTATAGCAGGGTTTTCTTATACCTTCTTACCCTACAATACCCTAATCTTGCCAATAATAAAAGTAAATTTTGATTTAGATGGGAATCAAATCCATAGATTTGTAATATGATAGATCTAAGAGTTTGTAATATGATAGATCTAATAGATAGATTTGTAATATGATAGATCTAAGAGTCATAGATCTAAGAGTCATAAACTCTTATAATGCCCCATCACCCCATAATTCCTAATCCAGCCACTATTCTGACCTCAATTCCTGCTGATGCAGTCTGGTTTATAGTAATTAACCTCTGGTCAGCTTTCTTTTTAATTCCATTACTCTGGGACTCAAAATTTATCTTTGCATTTATGTTTAGAGGAAGACAATCAACATAGATGCATACCTCATAGATATTATGAGTTCCCCTCAATATTTTTCTAAGTCTGTAAAACCAATTTCAACCCTGTAGCTTTTACTCAAGGCTTCACTCTTTTTCAATACATTAATAACCTCTTTCTTTATAGCCAAACTAAACAGAGTGATCTTATAGACACCCTCATTCTCCTAAAATAACTAGCTGAATGAGGCCTTAAATCCTTCATATCTAAACATCAGTGGATGCAAACAACTGTTACCTGCTTAGGACATGAGATATCTCAGGGCACTAAAAACAGCACAAAATGCCCTGAATCAGCATTGCCCATCTCTCTCCCAAAAACAAAAAGCAGCTGCATAAATTCCTAGGGGCAGCTAACTATTGTCACCAATGAATTCCTGCTTTTGCTGCCCATGCTAAACCTCTATAGATGCCCTCCTCCCGATGCGACTTCAGAGTTCATTTCCTGGCTCTTGGAGCCATTGAACTGCAAAGCCTGAAAATGAGCACTTCTCACATAGCCAGCTCTTGGTTTACCCAACTTTGGCAAACCGTTTCACCTATATTACCATGAAAAGAATAGGATTGTTTGGGGTATTCAGAACAACCTCTTGCCTCTTGGATGTGAGGACTAAACTCTGATTTTTTTTATCTTACCCAAATTTCTACCTAAGGAGTCTAGGGAGTCATGCCCTACAAACTGTAAATTCTCATCAGATGGGTTTTATTGAACCCTATATATTGTGGCCTACTTTTCAATCTGACTCTGGCATAACATTATGAGACAAGGAAAAAAATGTTTAACCCCAAGATATTTCCTTGCCATAACTTAAAATTGCCCTGCAAAGTGTCTTGTGGGAAGAATCCACATTCTATAGAGAATCCTTTTCCCTTTTGTTTTCCTTTCTTCCTTCCCAGATCCAGGAGATAATCAACTAAGAGCCAGGCACACTTTTAAGTCCTATAAAAAAAAACTATTTACAACCTAGTTTCTCTAAAGTCTGCTATCTAAGAGCTTCCTCTGCACAATAAAACTTGGTGTCTATAATCCTTTATCTTTAACCTGAACATTCCTTTCTGTTGATCCTAGGTCTTCAGACAACCTCAACCAATTATCAGCCAGAAAATCTTTAAATTTACCTATAGGTTGGAAGCCCCCACTTTGAGTTGTCCTGCCTTTCTAAACCAAACCAATGTATTTCTTAAACGTATTTGATTAATGTCTCATGCCTTCCTAAAATACATAAAACCAAGCTGTACAAATAAGGGAGGAGACCACCACTCATATTGTCTTATGCCCAATTTCTGCCTCCAAAGAAAGAAAAAGTAAAAACTAAAAGGCAGAAATGAAATCCACAGGCAGACAGCCCGGCGTCACGCCCTGGGTCTGGTTAAAGATTGACCCCTGACCTAACTGGTTATGTTATCTATAGATTCCAGACATGTGTGAAAAAGCACTGTGAAAATCCCTGTCCTGTTCTGTTTCAGCACCCAGTCACATACCCACTGCTTGCTCAATCAATCATGACCCCCTCACGCAGACCCCTTAGAGTTGTAAGCCCTTAAAAGGGATAGGAATTACTCACTCGAGGAGCTCAGTTTTTGGAGACATGAGTCTTGCCAAAGCTCCTGGTTGAATAAAGCCCTTCCTTCTTTAACTCAGTGTCTGAGGGGTTTTGTCTGTGGCTTATCCTGCTACACCCCAACCACCTTGGACACATGTTCTCAGGACCTCCTGAGGACTGTGTCACTGGCCAAGATCACTCATATTTGGCTCAGAATAAATCTCTTCAAATATTTTACAGTTTGACTCTTTTCATCAACAGATATCCTATACTATATTTCTTGTAAACCAGAAAGTATCAGAGACAGGTCTCAATCAATTTAGAAGGTTATTTTGCCAAAGTTAAGCATATGCCCAGAAGAAATAAACATGGAATCACAGAAACAGTCTGTGGTCCATGCCATTTTCCAAAAATGAATTTGAGGGCCTCAGTATTTAAAGGGGAAAAGCAGGCCATTGTGGAAAGAAGGAGGGTATGATAATCCACATGTTGCAAGGGAAAAGAAGTAGGTAGGGAATAGTCAATTACGTATTCATCCAGCGCTCAGTAAATCTGCACTTTACATAAGATAAGGTGAACACAGAGTAACTACTTTTGGAGTTATTTAACATTTTATCTCTAACTATCTGCTTAGGAACAAAAGAAAAGGCAGTTTCTTGCGCAACTCACATTTCAGTTTAATTTTTTTTTTCCTTTTGGCATGGTGAATTGGGGTCCTGAGTTTTTATTTTCCTTTCACATTCTCAAGTCAATTAGACTCTATGGCATCAGGCATGTCCCCATTCCTGCATGAAGTAGTCACAACTGGTACCTTAGTTGGCAAATTCGGTATTCTTACATTAGGTTCCCTTCTCTACTTCCACATTCCCCATTCCCCCATTCTGTGTCCATTCTTTTATGACTTATTAAGACACCGCACCTCTCAACACAGTAGCAGACCCCCTGTACACAGGCCCTATTAACCAATTCCTCCATTGTAACACCTTTTTTGTTTTTTTTTTTGAGACAGAGTCTCATTCTGTAACCAAGGCGGGAGTGCAGTGGTGCGATCTCGGCTCACTGCAACCTCTGTCTCCCAGGTTCAAGCGACACCATGATAGTGGTAAAGAAATTAACAACTGAGGTTATTCCTCATCTTGGCATTTCTTTACAGATTGAATCAGATCAAGAAACTCATTTTTTAGTGGAAATAAACAACTCACTCCCCAAATCTCTGGATTACTCATTAAAATTTCTTACTTCATACCATCCTCAATCATCAGGGCAAGTGGAACATAAAAATCTAGACATAAAAAGAACTTATAGGAAAAAATCCATTAAGCCATCTCTTTCAACCAGGAGATCAGGTATACATCAAGATTTTTAGAAAAAGTGTGTACTGTTACCTTGCTAGGAAGGACATTATGAAGTACTGCTAACCACCTACACTGCTATCACACTGTCTGAATCCATGTGAGCCACATCAAGGTAGAGCCAGTTATCACTCTCAGGACAACTGAAAGACCATCCCTACAGGTGACCTCATAGTAAGGATTTCAGAGCCAAGGCTCTAGAAGCAAGATGACACCACAAAGCAAACAGCTTTCCTCAAGATCACAGATCAAAAAACTTTGCTTTCATCTATTTTCCCCCTTTAAGTTTCTCTCCTTTCTGGTGTGTGGGGGGAGTAAAGGGAGGATCTTTTTCAACAAAACCTCCCATTTAGTGAGAAGCTCACTGGAGATTACTTGTCTCAATCTATCCTATTCTCTCTCTGATCTTCCACTATGGGCTTTCTTTCAAATGCTGCCTCTTTCATATTAACCTCATTCTTTTCTTCATAGGTTTCACACAAACCTGAAACCACCCTTGCACGAGTTTCTCAAACCTTGGTCATGTCAACTAAACGTATAATTATTGCTTATGTCAACATCTGGATAGCATGAACAAACCTGAATTAGTTTTTATTCCTGTCCATGGGGTACCAGGTAGACCAACTATGGAAGATAAATTAATGAAAGAGTGTGGTATCCATGGCCAGAAAAACAATGTCACTCTACTTTTACTTCTGCTGAGTTCATCAGGCAAGAAAAAACCTCTGCGCACGCTCAAGAATTGTCCCTTGCTCAAGCAAAGATGTTAAGAAAAAAAAAAACTTTTTCAATTAAAAACAAATATGGTACTGATCTCTTCCCAAGTAACCAGCCAAGACAATATTGCAATCAAACCCTGTAGTTTGACTCCATACACCACATCCTCAAACCCTTCATGGAGGTCATAATGAGGCAGGAGAATAGGGTCGGGAGACAAGAAGCCTGAGGACAAACTGTGGCTGACTTCTTGGAATTGGACCAAAAGGAAAACCCCACCTCTCCATGCCCAAATGAAAAGGGGCCAGAGTTCCTGCCCTCTACAAAACCCTCCTCCCCTACCTCACAAATGAGAATTGCCTCTGATTGGTTGTGGGCCAACCTCCACTTCAGCCTCTGATTGGTCTCAAACCAAGCCTCCACTTCAGTCTCTGATTGGTCACAGGACAATCCTTCATTTGCATAGGGTATAAACAATTGGAGGCTTCTAAAGGGTACTTAGGGGTGTTACTAAATTCTTTTAGTTTAATTTGAAACCCTGAAGAACATTGCAATGAGGCTTTTGAGCCACTTGCTCAAGCTTGCTCCTACTCTGTGGAGGCTACTTTCACTTCAATAAATCTGTGCTTTTGTTGCTTCGTTCTTTTGTTGCTTTGTTTGCACGTTTTGTTCAATTCTTTGTTCAATACTCCAAGAACCTGGAAAACTCACAGTCAAGACTTTCCATCCGGTAACAATAAGTGATTCTAGAACTACCTTTTATAACACAAAGTTTTGCCAAATCACCAAATGTGTTGGCTGGTTCATAGGCCACTCTTGCACAACCTGGGTGGGGTAGCTCAGCTGCTCTCCTGATTAGGCTCCTTAACACCAGAAATTGTATATAAATAGATCAAAAATCTGGATTAACTTGGTCAGGTGACAAAATCAAGCCTTTTAGCTGTCAAAGCCAGATTGCAGGTCTCCTATGTCAAATATTTCACATTTTCTGCTTTTACAAACTGACAGAGGCACATGAAAATGAAGGTGTGGAGACATCAATATGATCAATAACAACAGTTGTGGAACACACTAGATCTGGAGAATTACAGGTTCCACTTTTTGTTTATGAACAACACTGATCATTTTATCTTGTGTGGTTGATGAAAATGCTGCCTCTTTGTGAATCAGTTGGTACAAATATTGTCTGATTTATACCTTTGAACAAAAAAGATTAACATTCTCCATAAGATAATGAAGCTTAACCATTTTATTAGACTGACCTATTCCCACAGTTGGGAGATTGGTTTAATGGGAGATGGAGAAATGTGCTTAGGTTTGCACTTTTCTGGTTATTTATTCTCATTCTAAGCTGTATATTCTTCTTTTGAAGATCTATCACTCAGCTACTAAACTGATTCTTCTCTCCATAGCCATTAATTCAGATTTTATTATGAGAAACTTATTGTAAAGGTTCAGATGGGGGAAATGAAGGAATTCAGAACATGCTACCCCAAAATATGCGGCTTTGGTATGTAGATTATTTTTATTATTTTATTTTATTTTATTTTATTTTATTTTTTGAGACAGAGTCTCACTTTGTTGCCCAGGCTGGAGTGCAGTCGTGCAATCTTGGCTCACCACAATCTCCACATCCTGGATTCAAGCGATTCTCCTGCCTCAACTTTCCAGGTAGCTGGGATTGCAGGCACGCGCCACTGTACCCAGCTAATTTTTGTATTTTTGGTAGAGACGGGGTTTCGCCATGTTGGCCAGGCTTGTCTTGAACTCCTGACCTCAGGTGATCCACCCTCCTCGGCCTCCCAAAGTGCTGCGATTACAGGCGTGAGCCACTGTGCCCAGCCCAGCATGTTGATTTTTTTGGGTTGAAGATGATTGAGCAACAGCAGAGGCAAGAAGGGCTCTCTGACTTTCCTCTTTCTGCCTCAGGTATGACACAAAATTTTCCATGTGAAAGAGGCTCTCCCTGTTTCAGAAAGAGAACATTCTTATCACTGGAGACTGGGGGTCAATACTGAAATGGATCAGAACAAACAAAACTACTAAAATATTCCTTATCTTCCATTAGATTTTCCTGTGTATTTTCTGCCACTTTCCCACAAATTACTGCCTCTAGAAGCTTAAACTCTTTTCCTTTGTTTTATCATTTCCCCACAATTTAGTATTCTTTGTTTAAAAAGTATATAAGCTCTTGGCCTGAGTTGCTTCTTTGGCTCTTCATTTTTCTTATAAAGGCTTATGTGTGCAGTAAAAATATTAAATATAACGTATATGCTTTTATTTTCTTAATCTGTCTTTTGTCAACTCAATTCATGGACCCCAGCCCCAGAACTTAGAGAGTAATTTTTTGTCTTTATACCTGGCAAAAAGAAGGTATTCCATAAATGTAAGTTGTTCCTGTTATTATTATTGATAATATTGTCCCTTGTGACCATCCACTCCTGTATGAAAGGCAGTAAAAAGTATCAAAAAAGAAGGGCCACGCCCAGGACCATTTAATAATTCACGGAACTGCTAACATTAAAACTTTCCTAAGAAGTTAAAGACAAAAAGTAACCAAAATATGTGAACTATGAAGGAACTGTTCTGGTGGAAATGAAGTACTCAACAAATTTATACTGCAGTGGAGCCAGATCTGATGATGGTGCTGTGCCTCCATGACAGTGAGTATCACTACATATGTGCTTCTGAGAAGGAATCTACTCAAGGAAGTCTTCATGGATCATGATTCTATCAGCATGTCAGATTAACCCAAGCCTTAGTGTACATTGCATTATTTTGACTACCTCTTTGCAACTTTGTAAGGGAGTCAACTAAAAATACTCTCTATTTAAACTCAGACTTCAAGCTTCCTTCCCTCAACCCAGTTGAAATATTTTTCTGACTTACAAAGTGTGATTTATCTGGAAAGTTTTCAGTCTTTTAAACTGAATTAATGGAATAAGTACATAACATTTAAGTAAGTGACATTTAAAACAAGTAGTGGCAAAGCACGTTATTAATATAGAATACAGATATCTTTGCAGTTTTTGGTAGTTATACAGTCTGACCAAACAGGTTGGTTGTACTTTCATTGTACAAAATGGGAGGAAGAACAGTTACCAAAAATCAAACAAGCAATAGTTAACAAGATTATTTCTCAGTTCCAAACTCATACCAACTTACTTTAGCTATTAGCATGTTTGTTACATCTATAAGTTACGAGCAACATTAATAACAAATATTGCTTTTGTTGCTATTATTAAATAATACATCAACATATAACGTATATCATAAATGTATGGTGCATGCCCTCCAAAAAGAAAATTAACTGCAAATTCAGCTTTTTAATGACATTACAAAGATGTATTAATATTTGTAGTTCTCTCTGCCCCCCTACACCATCCCATGATAACCTAAACATATTAACACTTATGAATGAGAAGACCAGGCAATTGTGTTTGCCTCCTCACCAAGAACAGAGGAAAATAGGAGTGCTCTATGATTCTCACCTGAGACAAGAGAAACAGGAACTCAATGCTAAAGCAACAGGCGACTGAGCATCTGAGTAGTTGATGACAAGGTAGCAGTGTACCTGATACTCATCAACTAGGACAAGGCACAGAAAAAGAAGGAACTTTGAGGGAAGTCAGCTATAAACAATACCCAATAAGGCCAGGCCTGGTGGTGGCTCACGCCTGTAATCCCAGCACTTTGGGAGGCTGAGGCAGGAGGATCACTTGAGGTCAATAGTTCAAGACCAGTCTGGCCAACATGGTGAAACCCCGTCTCCACTACAAATACAAAAATTAGACAGGCATGGTGGCACATGCCTGTAATCTCAGCTACTCAGGAAGCTGAGACAGGAGAATCTCTGGAACCCGGCAGGTGGAGGCTGCAGTGAGCCGAGATCACACCACTACGCTCCAGCCCGGGCAAAAGTGCAAGACTGTGTCTTAAAAAAACAAATGAACAAACAAAAACAACCCAAGAATATTTATTAGAATTGGGGGCTGTTCCACTTCAGAATTTTTGAAGAGTTTGGACCAAACATGAGGTTGGGAGATGGAGACAAGTTCTTTATAAAATCTATTCTTTTGCTTAAAAACAACACAAAAGAACCAGAGCAAATAGCAAAATAACTTTAGAGGGCGAAACAGAAACTTCAAAAGGCACATGCTCAGTTGTAAAGATAATTACAGAGTAGTGAGTCTCCCAAGGTTGCATGTAATTAGTACTTTAGCTACTTAATGAATGTTTATGGTTGACAAAAAATATTGTTGTTATTCACTTGTGTGTGGCTTATTTGCTCTTAACATGCAATAGCTACAATTTCAAAAACCTAAACTGCAAGTAACATTTGTTGATGGACTAAACTGTTTTAATGAAACAAGTGATATTTGTTATAATTTTAAATGTTAAAATAAAAACAGCAACTCTTGCATTAAA